AGGCAGCTCCTGTTTTCTTTGCGACTTGCTGCAACTCTCCGTGGTTCTAAATCAATAGTTGTTTAGTGGTCCTAAAATGTTGGAAACATGAACTTGCTGTAGGTCATGTAACTGTTTGTTACATGCAATATGCTTAGTGGGCTTCACCAGACAGATGTAGCTCTCTGGTTGAATTTATTCTGCAACTGTGTCTTCTTACTGTCTTGGCCTTAGGCCTATATATCACAGTGTCAAGGCATATGAACTAACAGGTTATAGAGCAAACAAAGCAATTATCACAACACAAAGGTTGTAATATGGCTTTTTTTTCTGGCTTGGCTTCCCCAGTGATTTTACCCACGCACCGCTACTGTGCATATCCCAATTCTCCCTGAGACACCCTCGGAGAGTGGGGTCATGGCCAAGGTCTGCCATTCTCTGGAGCAATTAGGGTTAAGTGCTTTTCTCAAGGGCACATCGACAGATTTTTCACCTTGTCAGCTCGGGGATTCGAACTAGCGTGCGTGCTTTGACGTGTGTGCATGTGCGTGTGTAAATACTGTAACTGAGCCATATGCAGTACCTACAGAGTTTCTCTCAACTCTGTATTAATATGTACTCATTTCTCTTCAACCAAAAGATTACAGGAGAGAGGATGGAATAATCATTTGATAGAGTTCTTTCCAAAACCCGGCATCTCACCAGTCAGAAACTTAAACCCAAAATATAATTTCACAGATGCCCTGCTTTCGGAATTACAGGCCGCTTTCCAAAATGTCAAGCTGCCTCTCTGATTTTCCTTGGTCACAAAGAGGTGGATAGACTGTTCCTGCTGCCCCCACTGCAAATAATAATTATTTATTTTATTAATTACATTACATTACATTTTATTAATAAGCATTCATGAGTTATCTTAGACAAGCTGTCTTGGTTGTAGGTTGGTAAAAGCTCCAAACCCAACAATGCAGTAATCAATATCAATGTAGTACTAAAAACAACAAGATAGAACAAAAACACAATATTAATAAAAATAAAAATAACAGGAGAAAGTAAGAAGCTATATACAGGGTCAGTCCCAATACCGTATTTACAATGTGCAGGGATACTGGATCGATAGAGGTAGATATGTAAATATGAGTGTGTGTGCGTTTGTGTAGAGTCAGTATAAATGTGTGTGCATGTTATGTGTGTGTGAGCAAATTAATTGTGTCTGTGTGTGTGTGTGTGTGTGTGTGTGTGTGTGTGTGTGTGTGTGTGTGTGGTGTGTGTGTGTGTGTGTGTGTGTGTGTGTGTGTGTGTGTGTGTGTGTGTGTGTGTGTGTGTGTGTGTGTGTGTGTGTGTGTGTGTGTGTGTGTGTGTGGTGTGTGTGTGTGTGTGGTTGTGTGTGTGTGTGGTGTGTGTGTGTGTGTGTGTGTGTGTGTGTGTGTGTGTGTGTGTGTGTGTGGTGTGTGTGTGTGTGTGTGTGTGTGTGTGTGTGTGTGTGTGTGTGTGTGTGTGTGTGTGTGTGTGTGCGTGTGCGTGTGCGTGTGCGTGAGTGTGCAGTGTGAGTGTGAGTGTGAGTGTGAGTGTGAGTGTGAGTGTGAGTGTGTGTGTGTGTGTGTGTGTGTGTGTGTGTGTGTGTGTGTGTGTGTGTCCAACAAGCTGTTCTCACCATCCCCAGTAAAGCTATACTAGGCCTATACTTGTCCATTTGGAGAGTGAGAAGTCCATGTTAACAGCATAAATGTGAATGTGCATGACACAGCAATACTCTGATGGCTCTGTATAGCCAGAGGGAATTGCCATGTGTTCATAGCGATGCAGATAATATTTAACAGAGCAAACCACAGCAGATGCTGTTTTTTTTTGTGGTCAGGAAAAAGTCATGGCCCGAATCATGGTACAGTATATCAATTTATATCAGCTGCTATTGGTTTTTATTTTTTATTTTACCTTTATTTAACTAGGCAAGTCAGTTAAGAACAAATTCTTATTTACAATGACGGCCTACACCGGCCAAACCCAGACAACGCTGGGCCAATTGTGCACCACCCTATGGGACTCCCAATCACGGCTGGTTGTGATACAGCCTGGAATCGAACCAGGGGGTCTGTAGTGACGCCTCAAGCACTGAGATGCAAGAGAGAGACAGAGAGATACAGAGAGAGAGAAAGAGAGAGAGAGACAGAGGGAGAGAGAGAAAGAGAAAGAGAGAGAAGAGTAGGAGAAGAGTAGGAGAAGAGTAGAGGAGGAGTGACATAGAGCCACTTATACTGTAGAGCCTGGATGGATGGATGGATGGATGGATGGATGGATGGATGGATGGATGGATGGATGGATGGATGGATGGATGGATGGATGGATGGATGGATGGATGGATGGATGGATGGATGGATGGATGGATGGATGGATGGATGGATGGATGGATGGATGGATGGATGGATGGATGGATGGATGGATGGATGGATGGATGGATGGATGGATGGATGGATGGATGGATGGATGGATGGATGGATGGATGGATGGATGGATGGATGGATGGATGGATGGATGGATGGATGGATGGATGGATGGATGGATGGATGGATGGATGGATGGATGGATGGATTGTGTTCTTTCTGTCACAGTGTGCGTCTGCAGAAAGTGATCTGGTTCCCTGAGTGACGTACAGCTCCTCCAAGACGAGACACTAATATCCTGGGATGACACTAAAGACAACACTACTCCTCCTCAGTTTGTCTCTGTTGTTGTGTTTAATCCACAGTTTGAAAAGTATGAGAAATAGCACTGTCTGCAAGTTACAAAGAGACAACAACGTAAGAATATACTGTAAATACAGTATGTGAATATACTGTATCAGCATTATTTCCCCAATGGAGAGAAGTGTTTTGTTTTTTTATCCTCGACGGTTGTTAAATGCATTGTATCCACATTTTGTGGTTGTATTGTGTTTTTGAATTGTCAAATAAGACAAAATCAAACAAAATATAGTAGGCTAAATATAAATAGAATCGCTAGAACCGGCATCCCCATTCAAGTCAATGAGACATAATGGGTGGACTGGCCATAGAAATCGAATGCCTAATTCTATTTCTTGATAATGTATCATACCTGTACTGTTGGGCAACATACAGTACAGGTACAGTCTTCGTGGCCTCTGCAAATACATTCCTCTGCTGCCACCTGCTGTTTCTATGTATAGACAGCAACAGCAAAATAATATCATAGACTACTGTATTATAACATGAAATTACAACATACCATTACCGTACATATATAGCCTACTATACCGTATATACAGCCTCCTTGGCCTTAGTAAAGACGGAGTAGGGTATCAGCTTCCCCTACCCCAATCCTAACCTTAACCATAGTGAGGAAAATGCTGAACTGACCCAATGTCAGTGTCTAGGGGAAACTTCACCCCAGAGTGGTAAAGACACTCCTCTGCTGCCCCCCTCTGTCTTCATGTATTAGTGCTCCTCTCACCAGTTTGACTGTGACAATGCAGGCCAGACAGGCTCCCCCTTCTGTTGCAGTTCAGCTTGTACTACTCAGTGGTGAGTGTCTGATAGCTGCGTTCCAATAACATCTCCTTTCTCCTGAAGTGTACACTTGTTTACTAGTTCCCACAAATCTAAAAGCATTGGATTGGTGAAGGCATTGGCAAGGGAGCTTCCACCATATTTCTTATACCAGTCGATTCCTTTCAAAGCAGTGAAGGGAAGTGCACACATTAGGAGGAAGGAGAGACAATTGGAATGGATGCAACCCATGGTCAGAGTTTTTCTTGACCACATGACTCTGGTTCCTACTGATTACAACTGGAAAATGAGGGAGTAGATTAGCTCTTTTGCTCTACCATTGTGGTCACACACAACCTCTGTCCCACAACATGTTTATCCAACATGTTAACAATGTTTGTTTATCCAAGGAAACAACTTGTGATTAATTGCATTGTTGATCTACATGTTTGGGAGAGGTGTCAGAACACACGTCCAAACGCTATGGGGGGTGATGGAGTTAGGCTGGACCACACACACACACATACAAAAGGATACTTTTCTCAATTGTCATACCCTTTTTACATGTATTTCTTAATTTGACCACTTAGTGGCAGTGTTGTAACATGAACGGTATGCGTAATTGTATGCCATACGTAATGGTGCTAGAGGGGTCATGTTGCAAATAAATCGTTATTTACCTCAATTTAATGACAATAAATCATTGTGTTGTCAACATGATAGAACTGAGTCCTTTCCGACAACAACAAAACAACCTCCCAGCTCTTTTTGGTGAGGTCGCCATTTTGGACACTTTGAGACACACAGCGAGCACACTGATTGGTCGATTACATGCGGAGGCCCCGTACCTGGAACCCCATCCCGTGCTAAACCGCAGCATTTTCATAGCATGACCTTGATTAGGCTACTCAGTGAGAAGGGACCCCTTCTTAGACCACTCTTCAAGCGCTGCGCTCTGATAATGACAGCCCTAGGCAAAACTGACAGCCCTAGGCAAAACGGTTGTTATGGACGGAGGTCGAGAGAGGAGTTAGTTAGTGATTGTTAGTCTTTCCTGGTGCAGCATGTTGCACGGGGGTCTCTCGCTTTATCAGTCCTCAGGATGGGCAGTTGGAGGGATTGAGGACGCTGCGCCGCCAACAAGAATAATTCACTCATTTTTGGAGAGACCATACGACTAGCAGAGAGCTTGGCTCCACCAAGCAATTCGTTCGCCTGAGTCGATAATTTAGGCTATTTTCAGGAGGAGTTTGCCTTTATTGCATGTGAAGTTCTATGCTGGAATGTCATTTTTAATACGGAGAGTTTTCTTGTGTTTGGAGCGTTTTCGTGTTTGAAGAACCTGCAGAGCTACTTTTGGAACAAATTACGCATACGAAGAGGATGGTGTTTTACATGTAGATTGAAAGTTTCACTCTGCGCTCTGTTGGGTCATTATTGTATTACATTTTTGTAGTTTTTTCTGCTTTGGAAACTATATTCAAGAATAAAACAGTTTTAAAGTTCTGGACTGCAGGGGAAATGGCCAGCGAACTGAAACCACGGCTTTGTATCATGACAAAGACTGAGAACGGGTACGGGTTTCACCTGCACGGTGAGAAGGGGAAGACCGGCCAGTACATTCGCAAAGTAGAGCCCGCATCGTCAGCCGAAGCGTCGGGGCTGCGCGCGGGGGATCGTGTCATTGAGGTGAACGGGGGAAATGTGGAGAAAGATACGCACCATCAAGTGAGTATAGCACATCACGAACTGTCCAACTCCATCCGATTTTTTCTGTCAGTGGACTACATCGACATGTTTAATATCTTATGAGCCTAGTGTTTCGGTAATGATATTGTCATGGAAATGACAGACAGACAGACAGACAGACAGACAGAGGAGGAAGAGAGAGGAGGACACGGAGGGGTCAACAGAGCTACTGTATCATGCATTGGCATTCAAAAAGTTCAAAACGTTGAAGGAGCACTTGACATTTGATTTGATACTTGAATTTATTCACTGCACCCTTAATATGGTTTTATAAGCTAATTGTGCCTATATAAAATAATCATAGTATACAACAATGGACAATACCAAAATAGACCATTACTTTAGCTCCCCTAAAAACAACTCAGCATTTCAAGATGCAGTGGCATAATATAAATCATAACTAAACTCCTAACAACTTTTCCAGGTTAAAATATCCACTTTTTTATGACTAGCCTACTTAGCACATTGAAACCATGTAAAGACACAGTGAATGGTTAACATCGCACTCTAACCAAGTTGTTTAGTCTATAATGTTCTATGGTCTGTGAGAATAAGCAGACAGTCTAGACAGCCTTTCAGAAGTTACTGGAAGACATCACACATCTCCCTATCATCAGCTGCTGAGAGTGCCTGGTCACACACACACACACACACACACACACACTCACACTGCTGTGTTGATAGTGATCTGAGTTCTTAGTGAATGGCTGTGTTGTATCTCCGATGGGCAATGGCAGCCTGAAGATGAGACAAACACACATAAAGCAGACATAGCATGCATGAGATTGAAGTGCAGCCAATCTATTCCAGTGAGGTAGAACGTCTGAAATGGCTGTCATCATGTTAGTTGCATGTCAGTGTGTGTCACCTCTGACATTGTGACCCAGGATGAGCCATATAGGAAGCCCTGCACTGTTATTGTGTAACACTTTGGTTCGGTGAGCCACACTCGCATGATGAGGAACCTTGCCTGAGACCTTGTCTGATACATTTACATTTGAGTCATTTAGCAGACGCTCTTATCCAGTTAGTGAGTGCATACATTTTTCATATATTTTTCATACCTTTAGTTAAGACCTAATACTTATAGACTAGCTCAGTGGGCTAACACAGTCTTGTGGCGCCCATGCAGGAGACCTGGGATCAAAATCCGGTTAGTCACGTGTACTCCACTGGGTCTGCAATCTGGACTTCATAACCAACTGTCTATAAATCACCAGAGTTCCAGACGTCCTCGTTGTGTTTACATCCCAAACCCCGCCTTCCTTCCTCCCTTACCCCATGCCACTCAGCAGTAAGTAATGAACGGCAGAGACAGACGTCTAATGGGACGTCTGGGACAAGGGAGTCCCACTTTAGACACTACAACAAAGAGGCTGACTTGATGTAGGGCCCAGATACTGTAGAGAGTGTTGGTGTTTCTGTCTCATATCACATCCTATTCCCTGTAGTGCAATACTTCATTGTTATGTCAATAATCATGTTATTACTCTCATTCTCTTTCATATTTCTCTCCCTATCTTACCCTTTCATCCTCTCCTCTATTCAATTCAATTCAAAGGGCTTTATTGGCATGGGAAACATATGTTTACATTGCCAAAGCAAGTGAAATAGATAATAAACAAAAGTGAATTAAACAATAAAAAATTAACAGTAAACATTACACTCACAAGTTTCAAAGGAATAGACACATTTCAAATGTCATATTATGGCTATGTACAGTGATATAATGATGTGCGATAATGATCTCCCCCTCCCCCAGGTGGTGCAGAGGATCAAGGCAGTGGAGCAGGAGACCAGGCTGCTGGTGGTGGACCGGGAGACAGACGAGTACCTCCGCAGCCTGCGCCTCGTCTGCACCGAGGAGATGGCTGTCCGCATGGGGGGACCCACCTCTGTGTCCCCCGCCTCACCCCCAGCCTCACCGCCCCCCTCCTCGCCCCCGGCCTCCTTGCCCGCCGCCAAGAGAGAGAACGGCTCCGTGTCCAAGCTGCCCGCCACCCTGACTAGAGAGGTGCCCAAGCCCACGCGAAGGTCTCCGTCGCGGGCCACCAAGAAGGTGCGGTTGAGACTCAATGGTTTTTACACTGTAGGGGTGTTGTGGTGGTGGGTTAGTGCTGGGCTGGAACAAAAGCATCCACATGTACAAACACACACCAGAGACCCCCAGCTGACATAGATACATGATTTTTACACTACACTGGAGTAGGGCTGTGTTCTTGTCTTAGTGCAGGGCTGGAACAAAATCCTGCACTCATATCTGCACATCAGATATGGGCTGAAGGCTCCTGGATCAGGGGATGGTATTTTGGGGATTATGGTTAAAAGTAGGGAATGTTCAAGGGTACATACTTAGGCCGTTGAATTCCTTATGGAATTGCACGCTTCCAATCTCTTCCAAACTCTTCTGTCCTGCACCATTCCTTCAAGGTGTTGCTATGTCAACCCCACTTTCTTCATGTCTTGTTCTGCCACACCTCCAGGTGTTCTTGGGTCTTCCTCTCTTGCTTTCACCCTGTGGGTTCCAGGTAAGATCGAGTTCAAGGTTAGCTCAAGGGTCCTAACCCAAACTGCTATCTGTTAATTAAACACTACCATGCTGTCACAGTATGCTGGTATTTTAATGTGGGTCAGCATTCTCTCACTGTAGCAGCCAGAGAAGCCGATGTATAACATCTGATTGCCTTTAGTCACAGATCTAGGATCAGCTTATCTTCCCCAAATCATAACCTCCACTATTAGGGGGGAGACATAAAAATTGACCTTAGATCAGTGTCTAAGGTTGATTCCATCCTATGCCCGCTGAGATCTGATTACCTGGGTCTTGTTTTTCGAGCTGGCTGACTGAGATCCAACCTGATCTGATGGCCTAGATTAGATTAGACCTGTCCTCTGTTTGAGGCGAGCCCTGTCCAAGACCTGTCAACACACAGTAGTAACAATGTGTTTGTGGGGTGTATGTGTGTGTGTGTGTGTGTGTGTGTGTGTGTGTGTGTGTGTGTGTGTGTGTGTGTGTGTGTGTGTGTGTGTGTGTGTGTCGGATGGCAGGATTGGTACTCAAAGTCAAGGGTCATTACATCACTGTGGTTAGGATTCTGACCTAATGGACAATGCAGCAATTCTCCCTGTGCTTGCCAAGTACCTAAGTGACATCCTGTGGCTGTAGAAACGACTCTCCACACAGTATTACAGTAGACCTCAGAGTTTGAGTGCTGATCTAGGATCAGTTTAGCGTTTTAGATCATAATGAATAAGATGGATGGACGGGGGACCTAATCCTAGATCAACACTCCTACTCTGTAACGCTTTATGAATAGGGACCCTTGGGTGAACATTTTCTGGTGAATGGTTGTATGTGCAGATGTCTGAAATATGATAGCCCTTGGTTGTAAACAGTTTGTTTTCTGAAATCTAGTTCAAGTATTGCATGTTGATTTGGAAAACCGGATACATTTCCGTTGGGTCCCTGTCTTCCTGACAATCTACTCTGCTTTTGTTTTACATCTGCCCTATCTGCAAGATGAGGCTTCTCTGCTTCTGTTTCATGCATTAAACAGAACATGTGTTTTCACTTACGCTCGTCTTGCCAATTGGTGCACGATGCAGAACTCTTATTTCTACATAAGCACTGACAAGGCCAATCAGTGTGTGTGCGTGTGTGCGTGTGTGTGGTGTGGTGTGGTGTGTGTGTGTGTGTGTTTAGCCTTTGCTCAGCTGCGATCGCTTTGTGAGCCGTGGAGAGAAATCCCAGCAGCCTGAGGGGCCAGAAGGCCTAGCTAAGCTCAGGAAATGTCTCTCTCTCTCTCTCTCTCTCCCTCCCTCTTCTCTCTTCATCCTCTTCTCTCTCTCTCCCTCTCTCCTCTCTCTCTCTCTCTCTCCTCTCTCTTCTCTCTCTCTCCTCTCCTGCATCTCCTAGCTCTCCTCTCTCTTCTTCCCATCTCTCAGCTCGATCCTAACGTTCATCTCTCTCATCTCTCCTCTCTCTCTCGCTCATCTCTTCTCTTTCTGTCTCGGGTTCCTTGCTCATCCACACACCGTCCACCCCCCTGCCCTCTCTCTCTCAATTCGCCTCTCCCCCATGCTTGCCTGAAGAGAACATAAATACACAGAGGGACCCCAGAAACAAATCCGTTCCAAGCGGAGGAGAGCCGAGAGGAGGTTTATAAAGCAACCTTCAGGAGCTGCATGCCAAAAGGCAATCCCAAACTAAAAGCAAAAATGATTTGAAAGACAAAGCCCTGGAGTTTTGGGAATGGCTCAAACTCTAAAGCCTCATGTTGGAAGCATCCTTCCAACTGAGTTTTCAAACTGTCATTCAGTTTACAGTAAAATACAAACAAAGGAAAAGTAATACAAACAAAGGGAAAGTAACACTGTGGTCAAGACTTACAGTAAGAGTTCAACCAGGCAAGGAGAAGTGTCCAGGATGTTACCCAGTAGAGACAGTTCAAACTGGGGGGACTGGGTGTTTGGATGAATGAATGAATGAACGAACCCATGAAGTAGTCATCCATCCATCCTTCCATCCTAACCCCCAGTCAGAGTGCTGATGTCCAGCCCAGATGGGTGACCGTCAGGCTGACATTTGATCTTCCATTTAGTGGCACATTCCTCTGGCTCTCTGTCATCAACATCTCGTACTGTAACGCACTGTTTCCCAAACTCGGTCTTGGGGACCCCAAAGGGTGCACGTTTTGGTTTTCAAAGCTTGATGATGAGTTGATTATTTGAATCAGCTGTGTAATGCAAGGGCAAAATACAAAATGTGCACCCTTTGGGGTCCCCAAGACCGAGTTTGGGAAACCCTGCGACAACAGCCAGTCAGCGGGTCAGCGTAGGGTTAGGTTTAAGTCTGGAGGACACACACACACACTTTCTCATGTATGCACGGCACGCACACACACACTCTCACGTATGCACGGCACGCACACACACACACACACACACACACGGAGGACTAGGGTCCTGCAGCTGGACATGCCTATGGTAATGTGTAACAAGCTGTGGGTGGACGAGGAGGGGATATTTCCTGTTTCATCACAAAGGGATCAAAGTGTGTGTTTGTGTGTGATATGTGCATGCGTGCGTGTGTGTCCACTCTAATCCACAGAGCTAAAATAATGTATTTATTTGTTGATATAGTATAGCTGGTGGCCAGGACTCATTATCAAATAATAAGGGGACAGTATCCGGTCTGCAGCCTTTAGCTGACCCCAATGCCTGTACTCTGTCAGTGTCCCAACTGAGAATCCCATCTTTTATAAGAGATGGATTTCAGTCTAGATATGCAATATAAAACATGGACCATGCATCTGTAACTTCCATTGCAGACTGCAGAGGCTGACGTAGAGAGTGGGGGGGGGGTTACTACTGGGATGTCCCTCCTAGTTGTCTGCACCAGCCGTCTGTCTCACACCCTGTCTCCCACACACGTCTGTTTTACCACCTTGGCCTCCGCTGTGGCCCGTAAAACAGACGTATAAATGTCTGACCAGCTGGATGGAGGGGGGAACAGGCAACGAGGGAGGGAGGGTCTCTGTAGCAGGGCAGCAGGGTAGTTGCTCAGTCTTTCACAGGATGGCTACTTAACCACAAAGCAGTTATGATCAGTTTTATATGTTACTTTTTTGGCTTAGTCTACCCAGTTATCTAGAACACTAATGATAGGTGGATAATATAATAGTTAAGATATAATAATAATATAATAATAATATAATAATATAATATTGAACAGTTAGCCAGTTAGTTGAAACAGCGTATCCACTACTTTCAGTCTTCACTGCAGCTCATTCTTGTAAGGTATCTCTTGAAGAGGTTAGAATATCAAACGGTCATCTCAGTGAAGTAGGTAGATCACCACTGAGGTTAGTAGGCTACACCAGAGGAGGTCAGGAGTCAGTCCACAGAAATCAGAGGCGCGGGAGATTAAGAGATGGGATCTCTCTTTTCCTCTCCTCTCTCCTGTGTATGCAGCGAGCCAAGGTTGGCATACAGTAGTGTTGTCAGGGCAGCCAGACTCCTAGGGTTTACCTTGAATTCCAGGACTTCCTGGGGGGGGGGGGGGGGGGGGGGGGGGCTGAGGTTGGCTCCAAGCTGAGCCCAGTCTGTTCTGGGCGGGGAGTAGTGCAGGCAGGGCCTCTACAGAATCCACAGACCCTCTGTCACCAACCTAATCACTAACACATGGACCTAATGTTGGGTGTGTTCATGCTTCACACTGCGTGTGTGGTGTGTGTCTGCATATGTGCATGGTGTGCATTACTGCCTGCGTCGTGGGTGTATGGCGTTGTCTGAGGGTCCAGGCCCACCTTTGCTTATGCACATTTGCAGGGGGTGTGTTTTTAGAATTTACGATACTCACGGGTTTTTGTTCGGGTTTTTTGGCCCCTTTTAAAGTTCGGTTTCCTTTCCCGGCTTCCTTACTTTTACTCCCCTGAAATTTTTGGTGAACAGCTAACGGCCGAAGAAGAGAAAAAATCAAAACCCAAAACTATTTCCCAAGGTTTTTTGTTCCTACCCTGGTTGATTTTGGTCCCCCTTTTAATTGGGCCCCCGGGTTGGTGATTTTTTTAGGGGTTAATTTTGACTGTTGTGACTGTAAAGGGCTGTAACTGATTTGTGGGGACTGTACTGTAACGGGGACCTGTGGTAACGTAGCGTACTGACTGTGTGATAGCGTACTGACTGGGGGTTGACTGAGGGCTGTACTGACTGTGGGGCTGTGGGCTTTTTACGAACTGTGGGGACTGTACCCTGAAATGACTTGTGTTTACGGTAGCTGTCCTTGGACTGTTACGGGTTAAGTTTTTAACTGAACTGTGTTTATTTGTAGCGGGACGACCCCTGGGGCCCTTGGTTAGCGGGGATTTTGACTTGGGGGGACGTAGCTGTACGACTGTGTGACTGTATTTGGGGTTACTGATTTCTGGGGGTTTTTGTTAGCTTTTTCCCTGACTGGGGTGAGGTGGGTTTCTTTTACGGGATTGGGTGGGGACTTTTAGCGTCCTGACGGGTAGGGTAGCGGTACTCCCTGGTACGTGCTGTACGGGAACTTGGTACTTGTATGTACTGAACTGTGTAAAACTTTAACTGTACTGAAACCGGGGGTTTTGGTACTTGTTTAGGCCACCGGGAATGCGGGGATAAAATGATTTTCCCACGAACAACCCCCCGGGCCAAGGATGGGGGCTTGGTTACAGGGGAATGGTTGACTTGTTTTACTGTTTTGAAAGGGGAGGATGGGAAGGGGACTGGGGAGAGGATGGGGGCTGGGAGAGGGAAGGTAAAGGAAGGAAAAAAGATAGAAGGGGGGGTTTTTAAGAAAAAGAAGGGAAAAGGGGGGGGTGTTAGGAGAAAGAAAGAGGGGGGGGGGGGCAGAAAGAGAGAGGCGGAGAAAAATAGAAAAAATGATTTTGACATTTAAAATTTCCTTTAATTTTTTTGGGGAACTTTTTGAGTTAATTTTTACTTTTAATTTTTTGTATTTTTTTTTATTTTTTGTTTATTATCTTTACTTGCTTTGGAAAAGGGAAACTATTTTTTCCCCATTCCCAAAAAAGCCCCTTATTTTTTTAAATTTTTTAATTGAAATTGATTGAAAAAGGAGAGATATGAAAACAAAAGGAGATTAGGAGAAAAAGGAGAAGAAAATAGGGTTTTGGGATTTTATGTACAAATGTAAATAGTGGTGGATATAAAACCCAAACAGGAAGGAGAACATTTTCACATTTTCTTCCTTTTTGTAGTCAGCCATAACAGTAATGTTATACAGTAATGTGAGTCGTGTCCAGCTTTAAAAAAAGTATTATTTAACGACTCTAATAGAATCCTAATAGAATCCTACTGAAGACAATGACTGCCACTGCAGAGGGAGTGTGTTATTTAACACATATTATAAACTGGGTGGTTCGAGCCCTGAATGCTGATTGGCTGACAGCCGTGGTACATCAGACCGTATACCACGGGTATGACAAAACAGTTATTTTTACTGCTCAAATTACATTGGTAAACAGCTTATAATAGCAATAAAGCACCTCGGGGGTTTGTGATATATGGCCAATATACCACGGCTAAGGGCTGTATCCTGGCACTCCGCGTTGCGTCGTGCATAAGAACAACCCTTAGCCGTGGTATATTGGCCATATACCACACCTCCTCTGGCCTTATTGCTTAATTAACAAGGGGCGTGGGTATATCTGAAGGCTGCTCTCCACACAAACATACACACATACACACGCACTCACACACACACATGAAGAGAGAGAAAGAGAGACACACACGTATGCACACATAAACAGACATGGGGTCTAGATATTACAGTAGGCTGCTCTGTCTAACCCACCAAATACTATTTTCTGGGGGTATAATAAAGACTGATCTAAAGAGACCCCCTCCCAGGCCCAAACCCAGGGGCCCGGGTTTAAAGCGGCTAAAAGTTTTCCCGGGAGCCCTTAATCAAAAAAAGAAATCCCCCCCCCCCCCCCCCCCCCCCCAAAAAAAAAAAAAAAAAAAAGAAAGAAATAAAATTCTATAATAATTATATTAATGTATTCTTTTCACGGGGGGAGGGGGGAAGGAGACGAAAAAGGGGAGAAAGGGGGGGGTCTTATTGAATAAAAAGGGAAGTTTTTTTTTCCTTTTTCCTTCCTCTTCTTCCAAAATTTTCTTAAATTTAATTTAAACTTTATTGGTTAACCTCTTTTTTCTTACAAGCTAATAAAAATTTAAAATTCTTTCCCCCTTGCCCAAAATCTTTTCCCCTCTCCCTTTTCCCCTTTTCCGGTCCTCTTTTTTTTTTTCCCAAGGTAAGGGGTTTTGGCCCCCGGGAAAAAAAAAAATGTTTACATTGCCAAAGCAAGTGAAATAGATAAAAATCTATTCACACACTTGCCAATCAGCCCTTACCATTGGATGAATGAGTGGGCTTTAACTTGCAGGTGAAATGGCGAAGGAAATGAAAACCGAACCATGTGGTCATGAGGATGTATCCCCTTACCTCTCCACACAGCTTAGGCAGCAGCTATCACCTTAACACTTACCCAGTCACACAACCCCCCCCCCCGTCCCCCCCCCCCGTCACACCTTCTCCAGAAGAGGCGGGGCTTAGTCTTCTATTGTCACCAGGACCCCGTGATAAAGTGTCAGGTGTCACTTTCTCACAGCATCACACAGAGCAGCCTCAGCCAGACCTACACATACATACACACACTCACTCACTCACTCACTCACACATTCACACACAGCCAAACCACTACAGAGACTACTCTTCTCATGCCTCTGTGGAGCCAGGGATGAGAACAGGTGTGTGACATCATGTATGTGGTTGTGTGCGTGCTCATTCACAGTTATATCACCTTACTGTGTGGGCATCAAGCAAAACTATTATGTCACTGTGTGGGGGTTGGCACTACTCATTATGACGTCAGTAGAGTGTGTAGGTGTTGGGGGGGACACACCTTGTTGACCTCCATGTCTGTGTAGCACACACACACACGCACGCACACACACACACACACACACACACACACACACACACACACACACACACACACACACACACACACTAGTGATACGCGGGTTGACTCATAACCCGCAGGCCCCGTTGTTATATCCGCGGGGTGGATGGGTTTAGGGTCATTAAATATTTTGTGGTTGAAGGGCAGGTGGGTGGTGGGTGGTGGGTGGTGGGTGGTGGGTGGTGGGTGGAGGGTGGCGGGTGGAGGGTGGCGGGTGGGTTGAATAAAGAGAAAAACAATACCTTAAAAAAATCCAGAAATGTATCATTCTTGTGCAATTTATATCTATAGGCTATTTTGAGGTTTTTCTTTCATTATTTTGGGCTATCTGGCTTTAGTGCTTAAGCTTCAGGGCCTAACTGTACACGTGCCAAATAGCCTACACACCTATCACCTAATGCTTTAGGGAACGGGCAGAAAAAGTGAAGGTCAATCCACGGAGGCAAAAAGGACATTGTCTTAGTTTAATTCAATAACACAAAAGCTACGAAAAGAGAGTTGAAAATAAAGAGACGGGAGGGCCAGAAAAGTAATGTTTAGGAAAGATTTGGTGAAGTGGTAAAAGTGGATGATAGCAGTGCCGGCTATGTTATGTGTGAGGATAGTGAGGGACTATACAAATTCGATAGTCACAAGATGGGACTTCAAATAGGCCTATGGCGTGTCAAGGGAACTGTAGCCTACTGTTTAGATGGGTTAAATCCTGTGTAGCTCAGTTGGTAGAGCATGGTGTTTGCAACACCAGGGTTGTGGGTTTGATTCCCACGGGGGGCCAGTATGGAAAAGGTATGCACTCACTAACTGTAAGTCGCTCTGGATAAGAACGTCTGCTAAATGACAAAAATGTAAATGTTAAATAGAAACTGAAATCTGGACACTGACTGTAGGTCTATAACTTTCACGCCCTGACTCAGGGGACTCTTATATGTTGAGTCAGGGTGTGTATATTCCTTGTTTTGCTTTTTCTATGTGTGGTATTCTAGTATGTGTATTTCTATGTTGGCCGGTGTGGTTCCCAATCAGAGGCAGCTGTCGCATGTTGTCTCTGATTGGGGACCATACTTAGGCAGCCTTTTGGCACTGTCTAGTTGTGGGATCTTGTTCCGTGTTAGGTTTGTTGTCTGTACTACCTTTGGAGTTTCGTTTTGTCGGTTGTTTATTTGTGTTAAATAAACATGTATGCATATCACGCTGCGCCTTGGTCTGACCCGTCATTAAACGAATGTGACAATAACCTCTCACATAGCCTTAATATTACCGTTATTTTCAATTGCTAACAAGCATCGGTCAATACTGAAGCCACTTCATACATGTCTCAAAATAAGCTTGTTCGACCATAACACTGGCAACAATTCTCACTCAGAAAGCATACATTGTCACTCATAACACAATGACCTAAAAAACACTAACAACAGGGAGCATTACAAAAATGATGAACTTTCCTCTTTGAAGTTTGAATGATTTTTCACAAATCAGTATTTCATTATAGAATAAGAATAACACCTTTTCACTTTATTGACTGTACTAAAGTATATGTAACAAGAATGATTCAGAAATGCAGCAATTTGCTTCATTAGCCTTTATTTTGTCTATATCTTTGCATAATAATTTCCTGAAATTCCAGGGCTGCAATAATAATAAATAAATAAAAACATCAAGTATCTTCTGGAATGTCTAATCCAACCCTGGCAGTCTTCAGGAGAAGTGTCTCCACACCCCGCATTCATGGCATCCAGTAAGGACATCTGGTCATGTGGATGGTGGTCATAAATCTTCCACCTCCACGCAGAGAAAAACTCCTCTATGGGGTTTAAGAAGGGGGAGTATGGAGGCAGGAATAGTACTGACATCCTGGGATGTGCAGCAAACCAGTCTATGACTGCAGCAGAGTGGTGGAATGGCACATTATCCCACACAACAACGAAGGTAGGGGAGTTTCTTGCCCCTCTCTCCTCCAGTGGCACAAGTCGATTATGCAGGTCATCCAGAAAATAAATGAGCCTCTCTGTATTGTAGGGGCCAATGAGTGGTTTGTGTAACAGCAAACCATCATTGGACAGTGCTGCACACATTGTAATGTTAGCTCCTCTCTGGCCTGGGACATCCACGGTTGCTCTCTGTCCAATTACATTTCTTCCCCTGTGGCGTGTTTTTGCCAGGTTGAATCCAGCTTCATCCAGAAAGATGAATGTATGTGCAGTTTGCCTGGCTTCCATCTCCATTACTCTCTCAAATAAAATCCACAGTTTTACAGTACTTTACATTATGCATAGCTGTGTATGTACCCTGTTTGGTTATTGAACAGACATCTTACCTGGACTTATTGATACCGGAGTTCTTTCACACGTTCACCGTTTCTCTCAAAGGGTACAGTGTACAACTGCTTCAACATTATTTTATGTTTCTCTAGGACTCTGGCAACTGTCGTTGTGCTGACCGTATTCACATTCCCAAAAGTGATATTGTCTGCCAGCACTCTGTCCCGAATTTCCCGCAGTTTTATTGCATTGTTGCCAATTACCATATCAACAATGGCAATTTCCTGCGCATCTGATAATATTCTGGCTCACCCTCCTGTGGGAGGCAACCTTTGGATCCTACTGAAAAACACAAAACAATCAATATGTTTCAAAATGTCAGTACATGTAAAAATGTGAACATACTGTATTGTACTGTAATATGTAGTTCAATTATCATTGAAGGATGCACATCTCACCTGTTGTTTTGCCGGAAAACTCGTACTATTGGTGCAACTGTTGAACGCTGCAGATTTGGTTGCACCCTTAAACCGGCCTCTCTCAAAGAGAGACCATGGTTTACAACATGGTCAATAATTGTGGCCCTTATCTCATCAGAGACCACCACTCTTGGTCTTCCTCTCCTTTGTCCTCCACGCATTCTCCCTCTCCCTGCCACTCTTCTTTCCCCACCAACCTGTCTTCCTTGATCCATGTTTCCAAACTCAATCATTCCGAAGCCGTCCTCTTTTATCTGTTTGGTAATGAGACTTAAAAACAGGACACTTGGGTTTACTTTCAGCTGAAATTGCAATCAGCTGTGTTTGGAATGATGAAATATTCTGCTGAGATTTTCTATATGTTTCAATCTGGTTACTGCAGAAATGTACGACATTTGCCGTCATTCTGTTTTGAATGTGTTTTTAACCGTTTTGGAAACAGTGTGTTAGCATTTGAAAACATGTGCTGCAAATATATAGTTTTGCAGGTGGTGGAGTATGAATGAGAAAAGAGTTAATGGATTTCGGAGAATGTGGTCATTGAATGCATTTTGTGTGAAAGCAATGAAAAATGATTCACAGTTTGGTCCACATACACTTCTGTTTCGCTGACTGTGTGAAGAGTTTTGACAGTTTGACTTCAGTTATGACCAATGCATGTTAGCAATTGAAAAAAACTGTAACTCCTGCAGAATTAAGCATTTCTTGCAGTACAATTATACACCAAATGTAGGCACAATTTGGGACTTGGGAACAGGAGTGGAGAAACATGATTTATTTATTTCAGCATCTTGAGAGAATGTGAATGCTCAGTTAGATATCGTCTGTAGAGGTGCTGTCTTTATCAGCATCATCAAATCTGATAGTATTTCGGCCACATAAAATATGCATCCAAGCCGAACTGAAATCTTATCAGAAACACGTTGGGTCATTTTTACAGCTTTCTATTTCCTTACAACCGGTCAAACTTAAGTCATTTGGACATTTTGCACAGAAAATCTTTCCCTTTTTTTTGTGTGTTATTGTATTTTCTCGCCTGTCCCTAAACATCTTTGCTCCGCGAACAAAGATGACAAAGAAAACTTTACTGATGTCAACTAGATTGAAGCATTCATTCTATCTATCTATTACATTATTCTGTTGAGCAAGGGTTTACTTAGTCTTCTATGGCAACATATAATGACAGAAGAGAAGCTGCATGTATTTAATTATAGACAAGTTAACTAACAAATAGCATAACAAAATGTCGGACATTATAAGCAGAAACGTATTACATTTACATTTTACATTTACTTCATTTAGCAGACGCTCTTATCCAGAGCGACTTACAAATTGGTGCATTCACCTTATAGCCAGTGGGATAACCACTTTACAATGTTTTATTTTTTTATTTTTTGGGGGGGTGGGGTGGGGTAAGGGGGGGGGTAGAATGATTACTTTATCCTATCCCAGGTATTCCTTAAAGAGGTGGGGTTTCAAATGTCTCCGGAAGGTGGTGAGTGACTCCGCTGTCCTGGCGTCGTGAGGGAGCTTGTTCCACCATTGGGGTGCCAGAGCAGCGAACAGTTTTGACTGGGCTGAGCGGGAACTGTGCTTCCACAGAGGTAGGGGAGCCAGCAGGCCAGAGGTGGATGAACGCAATGCCCTCGTTTGGGTGTAGGGACTGATCAGAGCCTGAAGGTATGGAGGTGCCGTTCCCCTCACAGCTCCGTAGGCAAGCACCATGGTCTTGTAGCAGATGCGAGCTTCAACTGGAAGCCAGTGGAGTGTGCGGAGGAGCGGGGTGACGTGAGAGAACTTGGGAAGGTTGAACACCAGACGGGCTGCGGCATTCTGGATGAGTTGTAGAGGTTTAATGGCACAGGCAGGGAGCCCAGCCAACAGCGAGTTGCAGTAATCCAGACGGGAGATGACAAGTGCCTGGATTAGGACCTGTGCCGCTTCCTGTGTAAGGCAGGGTCGTACTCTCCGAATGTTGTAGAGCATGAACCTACAGGATCGGGTCACCGCCTTGATGTTAGCGGAGAACGACAGGGTGTTGTCCAGGGTCACGCCAAGGCTCTTCGCACTCTGGGAGGAGGACACAACGGAGTTGTCAACCGTGATGGCGAGATTATGGAACGGGCAGTCCTTCCCCGGGAGGAAGAGCAGCTCCGTCTTGCCGAGGTTCAGCTTGAGGTGGTGATCCGTCATCCACACTGATATGTCTGCCAGACATGCAGAGATGCGATTCGCCACCCGGTTATCAGAAGGGGGAAAGGAGAAGATGAGTTGTGTGTCGTCTGCGTAGCAATGATAGGAGAGGCCATGTGAGAATATGACAGAGCCAAGTGACTTGGTGTATAGCGAGAATAGGAGAGGGCCTAGAACTGAGCCCGGGGGGACACCAGTGGTGAGAGCACGTGGTGCGGAGACAGATTCTCGCCACGCCACTTGGTAGGAGCGACCGGTCAGGTAGGACGCAATCCAAGAGTAAGCCGCGCCGGAGATGCCCAGCTCGGAGAGGGTGGAGAGGAGGATCTGATGGTTCACAGTATCAAAGGCAGCAGACAGGTCTAGAAGGACAAGAGCAGAGGAGAGAGAGTTAGCTTTAGCAGTGCGGAGAGCCTCCGTGACACAGAGAAGAGCAGTCTCAGTTGAATGACCAGTCTTGAAACCTGACTGGTTTGGATCAAGAAGGTCATTCTGAGAGTGATAACAAGAGAGTTGGCTAAAGACGGCACGCTCAAGAGTTTTGGAGAGAAAAGAAAGAAGGGATACTGGTCTGTAGTTGTTTACATGGTAGTGAAAGACCATGGTGGAACCTGGTGAGGAAGACATGGTGGAACATGGTGAGGAAGACATGGTGGAACCTAGTGAGGAAGACATGGTGGAACTTAGTGAAAACCCATGGTGGAACCTGCACTATTAGAAAGAAAGGTTCCAAAAGGGTTCTTCGGCTGTCCCCAAAGGAGAACCCTTTTTGGTTCCAGGTAGAACTCTTTTGGATTCCATGTAGAACACTCTGTGTAAAGGGTTCTACATGGAACTCAAAAGGGTTCTACCTGGATCCAAAAAGGGTTCTTCAAAGGGTTCTCCTATAGGGACAGCCGAAGAACCCTTTTAGGTTCTAGATAGCACCTTTTTTTCTGAGAGTGTGGTGAGGAAGACATGGTGGATCTTAGTGAAAACACATAGTGGAACCTAGTGAGGAAGACATTGTGGAACCTAGTGAGGAAGACATGATGGAACCTAGTGAGGAAGACATTGTGGAACCTCGTCAGGAAGACATGTGGCGAAATTCTTGTTAGAACGCCTCCCTTTGAACCCAGTTGGAGAGAGGAGAGAGGAAGAGAGAGAGAGAGAGAGGAGTGAATAGAGGAGAGAAAGGGGGATAGAGAAAAAGAGAGCGAGTGAGAGAGACGGAGAGCATAGGAAAGAGAAAGAGAAAGAAAGGGATTTCCAAAGTAATGGAAGCCAGCCCAGACTGACAACCTGCCTGCCTTCAAAGTCCCTACTTCTGCTGCTGGTAGTCCAGTGATGATTATGAGGCCAGTCAGGGACATGTTGCTATTGATGTGGTGTTGATGTGGCTATTCTTCCCACAGTGATTGAGGACAGGGATTTACTGTCTGAACTGTGAGTTGCGTTTCTATTTCTCCTTCTGCTGGTTTTGAAGCCATATTGACCCAGAAACCCATAGCCACAGCTGGGCATAGCGTCCCCCCCCCCCCCCCCCCCACATCAGACTCTGTAGTGGTGCCTAAGTCTTGATGTAGAGGACATTACAGAGTAAGTTGTTTACTGTCAAATCCTCTGAACTTTTGGTTAATCCACTTGTTTCTGTGGGATTGAGGTTGTTGCTTATGTCTCCAGTGATTTCATTCCCCCACTGGGCACAGACGTCAGTTCAACGTCTAGTTTTGAGTTAAATTTGGTTGAGTAGTCAACTACCGTGAATTCAACGTGAAAGCAACAACAAAAAATCACCATGTCATTGGATTTAGGTTAAAAGTTGGGTGAAGAAAATACGAAATTACCTTATGTTGATGACTTTTTGCATATCCAATCAGTTTTCTATGTTGATTCAACTTCATCACATAAAAAAAATAATAATAATGAAATGACGTGAAAACAACATGGATTCAACCAGTCTTTGCCAGGTGGGCAGTTACCATATGTGTCGTACTTCCCTTTTCCCAGTGTCTGTAAAGTAACATTAGCTTAGTGAAACCACCTGTGTGTGTTTGCGTGCTGTGCTCGTGTCCTATGTGAGTTGTATACCGGTACGTTCATATGCAATTGGTTGAATAGGTGCTAGTATCTCTCCAGGTGTTGCCATTCACTGTGTCAGAACACACTAACACACTCTCCAGGCTGAAACGTGTGTCTGGACCAGGCCAGGGTTAGACTAGTGATTGACCTACTCCCACATAAGCTGGGATGTTCTTCTTGCAACGTGAGACCCAGACGCACACACACACACACACACACACACACAACCCTCCTCCTGCATTACAACATCATGTTGAGGCTTTATGAAGGAAGGCCTTACTGGAAACATCTGCTCTTCTCTACCTCTCACATCTGTATAAACAACCCCAGAGGGGAGTGTGTGTGTGTCCTAATGTGTGTGTGTGTGTGTGTGTGTGTGTGTGTGTGTGTGTGTGTGTGTGTGTCAGGTGATGGTGAGGTCAAACAGGCACTGATCTGAATCTAAACACTAACAGAGAGACTAAACACCACAAACTGAGAATAAACAACTACTAGCTACAAACTGCTCATCACTAGCTGTCAGTCCTCACTAGGGATGGGTACAGTTATTCAAATATCCGACCGGACTTTAGTATTCGATTACCTGGAAAAGTATTATTATTTATTTATTTTTAAAGATAGGCCTATTTTAATGAAAAGGCTTTGCCTAAAATGTAATTAAATGATCTATGTGACATTGCTACATACAAGGACAGACCATGACATTAGACATTTTAATAAAACAACAGTTTTATGACAGTTTTTATGAGTGCGCCCCATAAAAAAGACGTACGTTAGCCTACACACTTTTCACGCGTGTAGCTTGTTACTGTCGTCAATCAAAGCAGCAGTGAGGCTCCAAGTGAAGTGGGCGATTTCTAATAATGCCAAATGGAATTACAATTGCGGAATTAAGTTGGTTAAATGAGAAGGAGTAGGCTACAATGATCAACCAACAGGTAGGCTGTTGTTTAATATGAATGGAGTTGTTGTAGACAAGGATGAGGGGAGCACAGCAAAAAGCCTCAATTAACCTTGCTAGCTAGCTAGCTGGCTAACTAACTGGCTTGTGTACCTAGCTAGTTTCTTTATATCGATTTGATGCAGTCAAGACACACACGACCAGATAGGCTGATAGATAACCTATCCCAGCAACAAGTTTGTCTGAGTCGGTTTGGCTACTTTCTCTCTCTCTCAATTCAAATCAAATGGCTTTATTGGCATGGAAAAATATATACCTTTAAAACACAGTATTTAAACTATCCTGATATCAGAGAAAAACAATCATGAAAAATCATTTAAAAGGCCCGTTCCTAGTTCTCACTGCATGATACCATATCACTGCATGATACCACAGTAGGAAATGATGGAGCTTAAGATGGGAATCTGATCCATATTCATGTGTCCGCCTCTGTCCTCGGTCCTCCTCTGCAGGGCTGCTGGTGCAGCAATGGAAGAGAATCTGTGTGGGAATAAATGGTGTGGGGTTAGGGCCAAGGTCAGAGGTCAGAGGTTAGGAATGAGTAAACACAGATACAAGACAGGGAGGGAGGGAGGTAGGGAATAATGACAGAGAGCTGGAGTAGAGTGAAAGAGTGTTGTGTTGAAGGAGAGAAAAAAAGACTGAGGCAGTAAGAGGGAGGAGGTGAGAGAAAGAGGGAGAACGAGAGAGAGAGTTGTGTGTTAGAGGATATGTTCTTGGGTGGTAGCTTTAAAGCAGATATAGGATCCATGACTAATGTAGCCAGTGGACAGTTGCTTTGTAAATACAGTTGTAAAGTACAATGAAGACACAAACACTTCTCTCTTTTTTATGTGTTAAAGCTCAACAGGTCTTTCTGGATCACATGAACTTCATAAATCCCTTCTTTCCCCTCTTCTCCTTCTTTTCTCCTATTCCCACGTTTCTCATCTCTCCATCTGCAAAAGGACTTTGCAAGTGTTGTTTTTGTCTTGCCTCATTGTTTTGATGTAATTCTGTGGGTAGTTTTCTGGCAGTTTTTCTCTGTGTGAGAACTTGTGAAAAGTATCATCTGTCTCTTTGCAGTCTCACATTGTGTCTCGGTCTGTCTCACGTCAGTTCTCAGTAATAGGATAAAGATGACTGGTGTCGGCTCCGCTGGAGAGGGACACAGTACAGGAGTCTGAAGCCACTCAGCTGAGACGAGAGCTGAAAGCACAAAGCAGCTGGTTTAAAACACTCATCTCCTGGGCCCATATTCACTAAGTGTCTCAGAGTATTTGCTTTTAGATCCTAATGTATTTATATGGAGAGGTGGGACCTGATCCTAGATCAGCACTCTGAGACTATTTGTGAATACAGGCCCTGGTCTGTAGGCTGTCACTGAATCACTGAGCCTGTTAGACACTGATCTCATGTCTCACCTTTACCTAATCGCTCAGTGACACTCTCTTCCACCCAAAAAGAGGGCATAGATATATAGTCATGTCCCATATGGAATATTGTAGTGTTTCCTCATCTGTGCTGTGGTAATGGTGAGTCATGGAAAAGCAATGTGTCCTATTTTTCTTCTAAAACATGGCCCCCAGTAACAAAGGTTTTTTTAGTCCCAGTGCTGTACACCTTCTCCCCCCATCTCCGCTGTTCTTCCCTCCCTCCATCTCCACTCCAGGCTCCCCTCCATCCCCCTCTTCCCAAGACCCTGCTGAAAGCCAGCTGTGTTATGTCCAGATGTGGGGGTCTGAAGGGGCCAAGTGGGGCAGGGGGGCCTGGGGCTAGGGCTGAGGAATCATTCTCCCTCTCAACCCAACAGACACACACACACATACACTGTGCTGAAATGTTGAATGTTTGAGTTTTTTTGTGGCCTTTGGCACGGACCATACATCAGGGGAGATGGTTGCTCAACACCCCCTACCCCTCTATGCTCTGGTCTGCCGTGGTGAATCAGGAATGGAGCCCACACCACAGACACACACAGCTATGTGGTTTAGAGGTCGTTTGCTAACCACACACAGGCTCTCTCTCTCTCTCTCTCACACACACACACACACACACACACACACACACACACACACAATGGTGATGTAACAATAAAGCTCTCAGAATACTGCGTAGGTTTCTCTAACCAGGAAAGGATCGATACACTGCTGCCCACTCATAACCTAACTGTGGGAACAGCAGAGGGAGAGATGGATGGAAGGACAGGGAGAGATGGATGGAAGGACAGAGGGAGTGACGGAGTGAGAGAATCTGTGGATCAGTTGTAGTTGTAGTTGACAGGTCTTTGAAATGAGATCCATACAGCTGTACCGCTTGCTTTAATAGCACCTCTCCTCTTAAACCCTACAAGCATGCCCTCCAACATAAGAGTAGGGGTGTTAACCCCAGTGTCCTGGCAAAATGTCCTATCTGGTCCTCATACCGTCATAGCCACCTAATCATCCCCAGCTTCCAATTGACTCATTCATCCCTCCTCCTCTCCCCTGTAACTATTCCCCAGGTCGTTGCTGTAAATGAGAATGTGTTCCCAGTCAACTTACCTGGTAAAAAACTGTTTTTTAAAAATACAACAAAAATAAGGGTTAAATAACAACATCTACCACACGCACTCTTTTCCACACCTTCAACCTCTTTTCATTTCACCATCTCCCAACCTCCATCTCTGTTAAACCTCCATTACCAATGAAATCCTCCTCACTGCCTCACAGCTGCTTACGGTACAGCCAAACAGGGAGAGACTTTGATCCTATCTCTCATCAGCTCTGATATTGGATCAGTTTCTCTGGATCCCATTGTCTCAGCCCACAGATGGAGCTTCGGGATCAGTGTGATTCCAGCCATCCCTCTCTGGATTTAACCTTTTACTGTAGTGGGCTAAATCAAGGTCACACAGTGTCACATTAGTTTAAGGACGGGTCAGACCAAGGCGCAGCGTGAAATGCGTACATGTTTATTAAACTGATAAACACACGACAAAACAATAAACAAACGAAACGTGAAGTCCTAAGGTTGAACACACAACAAACCTATACACGGAACAAGATCCCACAACTAACGAGTGCCAATAGGCTGCCTAAGTATGATCCCCAATCAGAGACAACGAGCGACAGCTGTCTCTGATTGGGAATCACACCCGGCCAAACACAGAACTACAACACCTAGACTGAAACATAGAAAACACAACATAGAACACCACACCCTGACTCAACATATAAGAGTCCCCTGAGTCAGGGCGTGACACACAGAGTGTTTCTTGGTAGTCTTAAACAAAGGTACTTTGAAACAAAAGTATACACCTCACACACATGGTTATGGGCTTTAAAAAAATAAGACATCTGTACCATGTCATATATAGAGTTGAAATGTATTCAATTTTGAGTTTGCATCCCAATATTACACTTTATATACATCACAGAAGACTGAAATATAACAAAACCGTTTGACATAAACACCAGATTTCTGGCAGTAAAAACAAACAAACAAAAGTGTATTCATTATTAAATTATGAAAAATATTAATAACATTCCACCCATGAGGCCACTAGAGTGCGATTTGGTAATTTTACTGTAGGAAAGGGCTACGGGAATGTGGAGTGGGCTGGATCAGACGGGAATTACGCTTTGGGTGTGGACTGGGATAGATGGGAATAATGCTTTGTATCCCTATGGATGAGTGGAAATGCTATGGATCCAGCCATCCCTCCATGGGTTCCGGGGAATGTGGAGTGGGCTGGATCAGATGGGAATCAGGCTCTGTATTCCTGTGTCGGGGTGTGGACTGGACTGGGATAAATTGGAATTATGTTTTGTATGTGGACTGTGATAAATGGGATGAGAATAATTATCTGTATCTCTATGGATGAGTGGGAATGCTTCAGAATGCTACAGACACTCAGCTGCTTCCCAAACTCAGGGATTAACACATGGGTTTGTGAGGCGTTAAGGTGACATGCATGAATTACATGGGCCCCAATGCTATGTGGATGGGAGGACATGGTGTACGCAGAGAGGAATTCAATCTAATTGATTCAACATGGTTTTTGAGACACATTTTTGGGAAGCACTGCCTGAAATTCATGGTCTGTCATATAATTGTGAAAGAAAGAATGCTTTGATTAAAATTGGACCATGTTGGTTGGATTGTCGGATTTGAATTGAAAAGGTACATTGTGATTTGGATTAACAAATTGGTGGTGTAGATGGTATCTATCCTCCTCGCTATCACTCTCTATATATATATATATACTTTCTCTCTCTTTCACCCACTCTTTCTTTTTTTCTCCCACTCTATCTTACTCTCGCTGTCTCTTTCACGCACACACACACACACACACACAATCTCTCTCTTTCTCACTCTTTATTTTTCTCCCTCAATGTCCCCTTCCCTCTCAGCTACCATCACTGTACATGCTGTTGGGCCTCATGTTTCTTGGCAGGGGGTGTTGGTGCTCTCGCCTCTTACATACACACACAAACCAGGGTATCTGTCCCCGACAGTCATAGGACCAATGTCGTCATCTGGGGGCCTCCCGGGGTGTGCTTGTGTCTCTGTGAGGTCACGTGTCACCCCTTCAGAGGGCCCAGTCTGCCCCCCACCCACACTAACACACACATGCGTGCACACACACCCACACCCCTGAGCCAGCAGAGGGCTGGCTGCTCCAAACTGATAACATGGGTGTGGAGCTGCCTGTGTGACACATCATAACACTAGGACAGAGAGAGAGTGTAATGTTTACTGTTAATTTTTTGTTTTGTTTATTTCACTTTTGTTTATTATCTACACTACCAGTCAAAAGTTTTAGAACACCTACTCATTCAAGGGTTTTTCTTTATTTTTACTATTTTCTACATTGTAGAATAATAGTGAAGACATCTAAACGATGAAATAACACATATGGAATCTCAAATCTAAAATATATTTAGATTTGTTTAACACTTTTTTGGTTACTACATGATTCCGTATGTGTTATTTCATAGTTTTGATGTCTTCACTATTATTCTACAATGTAGAAAATAGTAACAATAAAGAAACACCTTTGAATGAGTAGGTGTTCTAACACTTTTGACTGGTAGTGTATTTCACTTGCTTTGGCAATGTAAACATATGTTTCCCATGCCAATAAAGCCCTTAAATTGAAATTGAAATTGAGAGAGTGAGAGAGAGAGAGAGAGAGAGAGAGAGAGAGAGAGAGTAGAGGGAACGAAAGAGGCAAGGGAGAGAAAGTAGGTAGTTGAGAGAGAATTAGAGCGAGGAGGAGTTCTAATGGAGAGACATTGAAAATGAATGAGAGATAAAGCGAAAGAGACGAGATATTGAGACAGAGAACATTTAAAAAAAGAGAGCGATATTGAGGCAGAGAGAAAAATATGGAAAATTAGAGATATTGACACAGAGAGAAACAGACAGAAAGAGCTAGATATTGAGACCGAGAGAAACAGACAGAAAGACAAATGGGTGGAAATAAATCTAGGGTAAAGGTCTTAGCCAGCTGTTTGGATTCCTCACTCTGTTGGAAAACGACCAGAAAAGCAAAACAAGAAAATTAGCCAACCCAATATGGCTGTTTTCAGTTACATGATATTCATATCAAGGTAATCTCCATGTAGTCTGATGCTGAGGGCAATATGATAGATACGCATTACAAGTCTGGTAATGGTTCAGCTTAATTTACGAACAGAAATGCATGCAGTCTTTTAGCCCCCAACTGTAATCCACAATGAACTTGAAAACCCAGCCAGCATGTTTCTGAGAGAAAGGGTGTGTTCAGCATGTGTTCAGCCTCACACACATTCCCATGGACGCGCGTGTGTCTGTGTGTGTGTTTAGAATGACAGGAAGATGACACAATGTGTAAGTCACTGATTACGTCGTGAGGCAAGACCTTGTCTCTCTGTCCATAGGTGGTCGTTTTGTCAGTTTGTCAGTTACCGCCTTTTGATTTCTTGGAAATAAGGACCTCCACACAAACCTCTTGCTTTCAAGATGGCCGCTGTCTCTCAGATATCTATGGTAACGCTGATGACTGGTTGAGTCAGACATAGAATGCACAGAAATGGACCCATTTTCAAAAAGCGTCTCAATGTGGGTGTGCTGATGTAGGATCAGTTTAGCCTTTTAGATCATAATGAATACGATTATAGGAACAGGGGGGACCTGATCCTAGATCATCACTCCTGAGATGCTTTTTGAATACTGGCTCTGACCTTGTTATTCCACAGGAAACTGAATGAACCCACCATTATGTTTAGCGATGGAATATTCCATCCCAGCATGCCAAGATTAGCTACTTAGCTTTGTTTTAAATGGTCAAATGCAATGCTAAATCTATGGCTGTGTCTGAAAGGCTACTAGGGGCTTGATTCAATACGTAGCGCAGAAGATCAGTGTTATTGCGCGATTCACATTTAAAAGCAATGTTTTCACGTTTGGAGACTACATTCGCTGTAAAACGCTGTACATGTCGGCTCAATCACAAATTACCTTTCAAATTCTACCGCGCTACAATGCAGATGTTCTGCGCTACAGATTGAATCAAGCCCTAGCTGTCCTCCAATTGGCTTTAAGAGAAATTGAGGAAACAAAGAAACGGGGTCCAGGGTCATATTCATTATTAACCAAACGGAAGAAAACAGAATGAAACAGTGAGGAACGACCTGTACTTTGTCCAATGAGAAACGCTAATGTTTATTTTCTGTCGCAAAAGGTTTTTAAACATTTTCAGTCGCTTGTCGTTATGAATGCAACCCTGGTGTTATCTCCTAGCTGGGCCACAA